TTATTTTTATTTTTATTTTGCGTGCGAATAGACCATTTCTGGTGCTAATCAATTTCTCTCTTCTTCAATTTGTTTTTTTTTCTTTTTCTTTTTTAGGGTTAAGGGATGTTTTGAAAAATAAAATGGAAATATACAAGCCATCCATTCTACAACATCAGGAAAAAATTATTAAAAGTCATTCACTGTTCAAGTTTTGCTTAAGAAACGTGTAACCAAATCGTTTGGGATATGCTAAGTGGGAAAATGTCATTCCCAAGCACCGGTGAAAAGACACCTACTCACTCCATGCATGCCTTTTCGTTTACCAAATATCAAGATTGCAGTTGTGCAAAATATCTATGTCAGGAAAATGTCATTTGTAGGCGTCTATGATGTCAGTAATCATTCCACTATATAATATATATTATACATTTATATATAAAACGGTTTATGACAGCACAAACACCAGACAAAATAGATTAAAACCCAACATTTAAACAACATTTGTACAATGTAGCCAGCCAACCTTTTTAAAGAAACTGAACCCAACACCCTAAAACTCAAGACAAGAGAAGGGAAAACGTCATCGAAATGCAAAGAGAGTCAGACAGTCAAAAAATCAATTAATAACCTATTTGCATAGCCATTTTTAGGATTTTCCCGCCATCAAATTCATTGATACAAATGTGATGGATTACTGACTAGTCATAGAAGGTCCCATCAGATACTTTTTCATTTTCCCACACCAAACTACCCATAGTAATGTTATTAAAATGGAACCAATGATGATGGATTCTTATGCAACTAGTTGTCTTAATGAAATATAAATAAAATAATATATTTAAAGCAGTGTCCCCTCAATTTTCAAATTAATATTTGGTAGTAAAATATTATATTGCTTTTCGGGGTAAAAGGTGTCACAATTCTGACGGTACAGGTGTCCAGATCGTGACCAACCTACCCACACACAGAAAAGAATGATATAATTCGATTTGGGCAGAGATGAGAGAGAGCTAAGTGAGAAGTTTAGGGTTATGAGTGAAGGGGTATGACTGAGAACTATGAGTGAGAAGGTATGAGTCGAAGAGGTTTCGGTGAGAAGATCTGAGTGAGAAGATGTACAAGTGAGAAGATTCAACATGTCTTCGTCTTCATCTCCCGCTCAAACAAAGAGGTGTTAGTATTGTGGAGCTGCAATGGTGCTTTGGGTTTCAAAATCAGATAAAAATCGAGGGAAGCCATTTTGGAAGTGTCTAACCTCCTATGTAAGTTTTCATTTCCAGAATATGTATGTGGGTGAAAAAAACCTAGGTCTAACTCTGACAGAATTATTTTGCATATATGATGCCTACAATTAAGGAGCCACCAGTTGCAATGGATTCGAATGGGTTGATGTAACCTTCGCTGAAGCAGAACAACAAGATGACACGTATGATGCTACAATGCTGAATATGCTGAAGTCCATTAAGGGCTTGGTATTAGTTTTATTACTTGTATCAATTGTCATATTATTTGTTCTTTTAATGACCAATTAAGTGCACAGTTTCAAGAATTGTAAAAGTTCTCCCCAAAAAGACAAGTTGCACACACCACCAATGAGTTTCAAACCCATTTTGTAATTTTTGTTCTTGAAATAGGTGGATTGGTATTGAGTTTAAATTATTGTTTGAAACAAAAGCATTTATTTGTCTGAAACCCAGCAAACACTTTCCAAGACTGACTTTAAAAAAATAAAGTCATACGAAGACGATAAAATCACAATACAGGGCCAATACGATGCAATAATAAGACAATACATTTTTTTGAAAATTGCACAATTATTCAGTGTATATAGATTGTTTATTTGCGTATACTTAAAGTTTATTGATTGTTTACTGAATGTATATCGCATGATATTGAATGTTTATTGAAGGTTTATTGATTGTTTACTGCATGTATTTCGCATGTTATTGCTCCGATATTGAATGTTTATTGAAGGTTTATTGATTGTTTACTGCATGTATTTTGCATGTTATTGAATGTTTATTGAAGGTTTATTGATTGTTAACTGCATGTATTTCGCATGTTATTGAACCGATATTGAATATTTATTGAATGTTTATTGATTGTTTACTGCATATATATCGCATGTTATTGCTCCGATATTGAATGTTTATTGATTGTTTACATGTTTATTGAAGATTTATTGATTGTTTACTGCATGTATTTCGCATGTTATTGAATGTTTATTGAAAGTTTATTGATTGTTTACATGTTTATTGAAAGTTTATTGATTGTTAACTGCATGTATTTCGCATGTTATTGAACCGATATTAAATATTTATTGAAGGTTTATTGATTGTTTACTGCATGTATAACGCATGTTATTGCTCCAATATTGCATGTTTATTGGGGGCAAAAGTACCACTCAAGTAAGATTTAAGGAGTTATATTTAAGGGGGAAAACAGTCCTTATTCTTTCTTTTAGTAGGAAGAACAACTGTTAAGTATAATTTCCTATTCAATACGGCTTCCTTATGGTTGGTGTAATTATGGAGTGATGTATATTGCATGTCTATTGCGTGTATATTGCATATCTATTGCGTGTATATTGCTTGTCCGTTGTGTGTATATTGCTTGTCTGTTGCCTGTGTATTGTTGTTTATTTCATTCGTAAGCAATAAACAATCAATACACACGCAATAAATGTACGATATGCACGCAATAGACAAGCAATATAGATGCAACAGACATGCAATATAGACGCACCAATATACATTACTTTTATGGAACATAATTTAGTGTTTTGGTTTGTTTTGAAACAAAGTTGAGTTTTTGTTATCATTTTCAAATTTTATAAGTCAAAATTATATTTTTGGAGTTTTGGGACGTAAAGAATGTCACAAGGAGTTCCTACCAATTTTCGGTGACTTTTTTGGATTTGTATTTAATTTATTATGAATTTTGTAAGTTAAATCCTAGAAATTATTATTAAATGGTATGGAGTGGCACATGGCGGAAGCTGAATGGGCACGGTCAGTGTGGCTGACTGACTGGCCTCCAGTGATTGCACCACTGTCCATTTTGATCCTTGTTTTGTTTTGTTTTTTTATAAAAAAATTCGTAAATAAATAATTAAAAATCAGAAAAATACATTGAAAATTGTTACAAACTCCTTATGGCATTATCTTCAATTATTGGGGCAATACAAAGACAATTAAGGGCAATACAATGACAATACAAAAGTAATTAGGGCAATACAATGGAAATATGAAGGCAATTGGAGGCTATATAATGGGAATACTAGGGCAATAGGAGGCTATACATTGGCAATACGAAAACTCCAATAGTCCATCTGAGAGAGAGAGAGAGAGAGAGAGAGAGAGGAGGGGGGAATACAGGGACATAATACACAACGTATACAATGTTCTCTCTTCAATGTATAATATAAGTAAAAGTAATTTTCCATTGTTCTTTGAAAAAAAAAAGTATGTTTCTATTGCACACACTTGCGAATATAAAAAGAACAAATTCAAGACTGAGCTTTCTCAAGTAAATTGAACTCAATTTCATTGAATGAGGACTAAATTACATGATTAAAATATAGTTCCTCAATTACATGTTTTTTTTTTCCATATAATTACAGCACACTTCCTGTGACAGAATGAAATGTTGTCCCACGCCAAATTGATGATGATTCTCAATAACAACAATCTTCCATAAGTCAAAAATCTAGGTCCAACTGTCATTAAAAAAATAAAATAAAAAAACCTGCAGAAGAGATGGCAAAACAAGAAATTAGCAAAAAGGAGAAACAAAGACCAAAAAAACAAAATAGAAACTGAGACAAGAAAACCGCAATCAGAAACTAAAAGACCTAAGAAACTCATACTAATAGGCAAAGAGCTTCCTAACCTAGAACACCAGCAAGAGAAAATCGGAAAAATTGGAACACATAAAGCACAAAGAAAATGTTAAACTAAATAAGAGGGACAGAACCAAACATCAAAACACCTCAAGGGGTGAACTTAATCAACCAACCAATAATCAATATAACCAAACAACATCCATAACATCAATACAGAACCAGATACAACTACAACATCCATAATAGAAATACACAGAACAATGAAACTAAAAAACAGCTGCATTCCAATCCAATAAGATTGAAGAAAAGTAACTATTCCTGTACAAAGTGATATTATGGGAACATGATTAGGAACAAAAAGAACCATTAAAAAATCATCAGATCGTTTGGCAAAAAATGGGGCAATGTGGAATTGTCTGACTCAAGAAGCTCCACATGTACTTTATATAAGCTTCCTAAAGAAGGCAATAGAGAACAGAACAACCACAATTTTCTGAAGCTGTTCAATATTCTCCATTTTCTAAAAAACAAACAATTCCAGATAAAATAAAAACAAACCAATCCTATGTTTCTATATAGGTGTAAGAGAATCATGAATTGAAACAAATAATCTACAGGGGCAACTTTAGAACAAGGAATTCAGATCCATATGTTACATTTTATAGCAAGCCATATCAAGGGAGGTCTACTTAATGCTCTTGAAATACTTCAAATTTTGCTCAAGCATCTCATGAAGATGCCTGTTTTCAACTTTCCCATGTTCCAATACTTCAAATATTAACACCAAAAGATGTGTATTTCAAAGGCTAATTAGCATCACACTCACACAAAATCTAATAGCATAAGAAACAAGCACATTCCCATTCATTTCAATTAATAACTCCATTTCCTAATATCAGCAAGTGGGTTCATCGAATAGTAAGCTAATCTTACAATTCAGAACAACCATGTCAACCAAGAGCGTAGCTACTGATAATTTAGTAACACAACTTCCATTAATACTAGAAGAATTTAATAACCTGTCTACACA